CGGTCCCTTTTCTTTTTTTTGAACAGCCCACTAAAGATGTAAGGCCATTCTTAGCTCGAGGCCATCGTTTGTCAGCCTCCACTTTCCATTCACACCTGTGTCTTTTCTCCTCCATTAAGAAGCCAGATGTTTAAGGACAGAGAAGAGGCCCTGGAGTCCGGTCTCCCTGCCAACCGGGGTTATTCCGACCCTCCATCCCCCCTGGTCAGAAGGGGGAGGTCCCAGGAGTCAGTTCATGCCCTGCCAGGACTGGCTCGGTCACCTGGGCGCAAATCACACCCTCTGTCCTCGGGTCACAATCTCTAAAATGAGAGGATAAGAGACTTTGGTGACTAAACCACCTTTTCCATTTAAAACCCTGTGAGACAGAGTTTTGCACATTTTAACTAATCTACCCCAGCGTTACTCAGGCACCCCACATTAAGCACTGTATTAGAAAGAAATCAAAACAAAACCACAAAATAATACTGGCCGGGAAAGGAGCAGGACTTGCGTATGGCAATAGCCCTTCTAGGGACTTAAACCAGGGACTTGTGAGGAAAAACCAGTTGGGAGTATCCAAGGAGGAGAGAGTAGAAAAAACATTCTGTGTACCTACATTTGACACTCTATTCTTTAGATACAAGTTCCCTGAGATCTTAATTAGAGAAAACAGTTAATCAAAGATAAACTCATTCTAAAACTTATGAATAATCTATGGCATGATAAAATTTTATTAAAAATTATTCATCAAAAACAGAGGGGATGCATAAAATTACTCATCAAAAACAGAGGAGGCCTCCTGGGCAGAGAGGCCCTGCTGTACGAACCGCAAGCTTTGTGCTCCATGTGTGTGCCTTACGGCACCAGGGTTCAACATCGGGAAGCCGCTTTAAAGGCGCATACGTGCAGCGGCTGCTGTTGATGACAAAGGAATCCGACCTGCATCAGCGCAGGCCCGGTGGGCTCTGCATCTGATGAGGGTGGCTTATTAAAAGTAATTCCATTTTTTTCCTTAAAAGCAGAAAGAGCAATGTCCTATTGTCACTAATTTAAATTAACGAGAGCAGCAAGCATCTCCCAGTCTGTCCCAGGCCTGCATTTCCAGGAAGGAAAGGGTTCCCGTCAAGTCTGGAAACGCTCTCCTGGAAGTTCCCAGGGTGCATTGGCGCAGGAAAACCTTGTCGGATTCCCAATGGACCCTAGAGGGGTCTTTCCCCCTCAAGGAAAGCCGGTGCCGCCTCACCTCCGTCGTGCTCCACTGCGCACTGCCATGGAAACCCCAGGGCAGACCCCCACTTAGGGGTCAGATATCCTCGGACTATGCCGCCCGCCCACTTTCCTTTCTCACGGGAAGCAGGTGGGGGACCAGCACCCCCCACTGCCTGTCGGCAACAAGGGTCCGTGTCCCAGAGGATGGACCCACCACTGCCACAGAGGAGAGAAGAGTCCCTAGTAACAGTCCCCTATGTTCAGAAAGGATGTTGCTGCTTCTGATTCCTCGATAAAAGCATAAGGAGAACGCTCTCCAGGGCCCTATGAGTAAAAAGACAGCTGTGGCCAGGCATCAGCACGGGTCCCTGAACCCTCCGCAACCCCCTCAGCCTTGGACAGGCATTCTGTCAGGCCCACAGAGATGAGATGACAGGTGGATACTTTGGTCACCTGCCCCAGGGGTAAAATGCCAGCCGGCTGTACAGCCCGGAGCCACTCCCACCCGGGAGGACGAGGGTGGGAGCAGAGCGGGCAGTCTGGGTGCTCCCCAGGGCTCTCAGAGACCCCTTTCACTACACCCCGTGTCCGGAGCCTTCCTGTGCACCTCACTGAGATCAGGGGTAAGTGAAACACAGAATGGCGCAGAGAGCAGAGGGAGCCAGCCCTCCCTGTGCGGGGCAATAACGCAAATGCGCCCCAAGGGACGCCAAAGGCAGACACGACTCAGGAGCAAGACAAAAACTTCGGCCTGGGAGCAACAAAGAGGCAACATCGAGGACCAACACCCGACCACGGGACGGCCACTCCTGCATAACGAGACGTTTCTCCAAATCAATTCTGGGGGCCAGTGTGGGGTGTCACAGCCAGATCACCGCCTCACCCCAGGTACATTTACTCCGACAGGAGTTGCTTCAGGCAAATCAAAACCACTTGAAAACCTTAAGAAAATGCTAAACCCAAAATAACTTTATATAAGGTCTGAAATTACACGGCTTAGTGAAGCACTGAGAATTCCTAGAAAGGTGCTGTGCCTTTCAAGACTCTGATCTACATATATTTCCTTTCATTTTAACCACATCAAGAAATCCCCTAAGAGAGGCCATTTTCTCAGAAGGAGAGTTACACAGGAGAGTGCGAAATAGAGCCATTTTCACAAGCAAGATGAAACACTTACGTTTTATTCACGCAAAGTGAAAACCCCTTTCCTTTGCAGCATTACAAATTGAATTTGCTCTTGTAAATTTGCTGTTTTTTTTTTAAAAAAAAAAGAGGACCAAAAGCAAAAAAAAAAAGAAAGTTAAAAAGGCAGATCTTAAGGGATCAATGGACACAAACAGAACCTTCCTCCCGCAAACATCCCTTTCACTTCCTGCCAAGTGCAGTCCAGCGCAGCCCCCCCCACCCCCGCCCCCATGCCATGAGCTTGCTGAGGCTCTGACAGCTGAGAGGGAACCTGAGTGAATTTCTAAATTACACTTCTCTGCAAACACTGAGCAAGAATAAGAAGTGGTTTAAAGCACAGGGGCAAACCCAGCCCACCTCTCGAAAGCAGAGCCAAGGCCATGGAACCTCATGTACGCTGCCACCACTGGGGGCAGAGGAGGGCAGGCTCTTCCTGCTTTGAAGGACAGCTGAACTCAGTGCCCAGAGCAGTGCTCAGTGCCTCTCCGCCTCTGCATCCAATGAGAATCTGCTCCTCAAACCTCCCTGAGGTCTGGCCCCGCCCTGTGTTTGAAAGGAAGCCCTGTAATTAGCTTCATCTGCTAGCTAGCGGCTAGTCTATTGCTTTAACAAATCAAGAGCCAACATTCATTAAGCATTTGCCATGACCCCGCCCGTACCAATTACCGTACACACACAGGCACACATACACATGCTTTGTGGTCCTTACCATGATCTGCATTTCACAGATAGTAGAAACTGAGGCTCAGAGCTTGAATAATTTAGTCAACTAGAGTTTGAACCATTTTTTTCTTCCCCAGCATGTAGCATTTGGCCTCACGTTGAAGGGCGGGGCTGAAAACCTCATCAGTGAATTTACTCACAGCCTTAGGAAAACACAGCCCCCCGAGCTGTACGTGTACGGTATACAATGATTTTCACCTTGGCTGCTGCCTTAAAAAACAAACGTGGAGGACAGGAACCAGGGGCGCACCAAGCATCTTCTACCCTTCCGTCAAGGCTAAACATTTTTAATAACAAGCAAACATCATCAGGTATTTTCCTTGTAGAAATTAATCAAATCCTGTCAACGCAGCAACTGCAGTGCTACAGCTCTGCCGAGCAAGGGGTTGACAGGTGTGTGACACGTTCAATCTGGCCACTCGTCCCCCTGGGGCACCCGGCCCAGCTGTCACCATTCGTCACTGTTACAAAAGCTCGAAGACACAGCTGTGCTCCCAGGAAGGACTACCCTGCCGGCAGTCAGAGGCCACCTCGCCTTTCTCTGGCCATTTCTCGAGTCTGGTTCCAGCAGTGTTCTCTGACTGATGAACACTTCACCATTTTCCCTTCTGGCTTAGAACTTACAACTGAACCAAAACGCTCTCAAAGCCATGAATGCCCAGCCTCGGAGACCAAGGCTGGGGCATAACCCAAGGCAGAGCCCTCTGAGAGCACTGCACGCTTTAATAAACCAGAGTGCCCGAGAGCGGAACCCAGAGAGTGGATCCCCTCTCTGCTGTCTGGCGCTTTTGCCTGCCTTTGCAGTGTTCTCATCCCTTTTCAGTGAAGCAATAGCTAATCATCCTATAGCTCACCCCTAAATTCTAGGAGAACTTCAGGTGCATGGAGAGTTGCCAGAGATTAACTATACAGTTGACCCCTGAACAACACGGGAGTTAGGGGCTCCGACCACCCGAGTGGTCGAAAATCCACGTGTAACTTAAGTCGGCATTCACTCCAATTTCCACCTGCAGATAGAAAATACAGTTGACCCTTGAACAACGCGGGTTTGCACTGCTTGGGTTCATGTGGACCGTGGGGTCAGCTGTGATCCAACAGTTGGGTCCACTTCATGGAGCCCCGTTACTTAACAACGACATCCAAGTTGTCAGTGATAACTGCCGCTTTTTAGTTAGAAAAGCTAACTAATAGCTTTCTTACTTTAGTAAGAAAGTTCTGATATTGGAAAACCGGAACTTTCTGGCTTCCAGTCATCCTGAAGAACATGTAATTCACAACACATCTAAGTAAGAAGCACTTCTGTAAATAACAGATTTTTAGCAGAATTTCAGAAAAAAACCATGCACACGCATTGAATGGAATTTTGACACGACCAGATGTTTCATGTGCTAAAAAAGCTGAGCCAACCCCAAGCCCCAGAACCTCCTGGTGTTCATCACTTGCTGATCTAGCACTTGTCATTCAAGGTCATACAAGCGCTCCCTTCATGCAAGCCCCCCATGAAGAAAGTACCGACAGGGGTGCGTGTGAAGTGGCCAAGACCCAACCGAGTGAAACACAGGATTAAAACAGGCTGCAAAGAGGGGAAGATGAAGCGTGAGGGTTCAGTGAGCTGGGAACTGAGGTGAGTGAGGATGAGGAGGAGGAATGTGCAGAAATCAGAGGCAGGATGCAGAACTGACCAAAGGTTTGAGGGACAGACGCCAAGAAGGGGAGTAGCATGGAGGGTTCATGAGCTGAGGACATAGCGATACACCGTAGTTTTTCACATTTCTAAAGGAAGTCTGTCGTTGCTGTGAGTTCAGTGAAGTGCGGTCAACACGGAGACCACGCTCTGGTGTTAAGCTAAAACCGGGCACCTGGTCGGGTGGCAAGCGCCCACGCCACCCCAGGGCACTCACCGGCCATTGTCCCGGCCGACGCCCCACACGCGGATGCTCACGATGGGCTGTGAGTGGAGCACGGTGCGGTCCATGGGGTCCACCAGGCTGAGCATGTCGTTCTCCAGGACCAGGTACATGTCTTTGCCCTGAATTTAATGAGAAAACGCGTTACCTACCTTCAGAAGTGCACGGCCTGCAGGGTCTGCGGCCGCCCAGGGATGGCGCTTCAACGATCAAGAGAAGCCGCCCCTGGGGCCTGTGATGTCTTCCTGAGAGAAGGCTCCTCTCCTGAGTAAAATACAAATCTTTCACATTTCCCTCACACCCCGAATTCCTCTCCCCCTCTCCAAGTTCTCTGAAATGTGTCCCCAGCCTGCTTTCTGGCCGGCTCTGTTTTTTATTATTCACACTTCTGCATCTTTAAGAAAAACGGGTAATGGCGGGTCCCCTGGGGACTCTGGTCTTTCACTAACTCCACTCTGCATCCTCTGAGAACCGAGCCCTCCCTGCTCCTTGCCTTAGGCCAGACCCCCGCAGGCACCCCCCCCCACACAGGCCCTTCTTTGACCCACAGTGTCACCGCCTTCTCCACGTTCACACGGCTCCCCATCTGTATGGCTGGGCTGGCGAACAGCAGAACCAGCTTTGGGACATTTCCTGGTGGCACCACAGCTGACATCTCCACGCCTTGACCACAGCTCAGGCAACGTGCCACGTGCCCAAGGCACCCTGGCTCACGACCTCTCTAACTTGCCCCGACAGCGGGGTATGTTATCATTCAGCTGGCTGTGGGGCAGGGCCTCTGTCTGTCTGTGGCCACTTCAAGGTCGCGGCTGTGTCCAGACCTTGGGCAAAGAGCCAGCCCTAAATTAGCTAGTTTGCGGATTAGCTCCGACTGGGGTGCAGTCCCGGAGAGACTCAGCGGCCCAACACCTCACGGAGGCTGGGTAACTGGCCAGCAGCTGAGCGGCGGCTGGCAGGGACACTGGGAGCCAAGCTGCCCTCCCCCTCACGGCCCTTCAGCTACACCCTGGGCGCCTTTCCTCCGGGCTTCAGTCCAGCGCTGCCGCACAGTGGCGCTCGGGAGCCGCGGCACCACTGGGGGCTGGGAGGCGGAGACCCGAGCAGGTGCTGGGCTGCCCTGGGGTCAGCCAGGTGGTGTGCGCTGTGAGATAACTGACAGCTGCCAGGGACTTCGGTGCCTTCTTCTTCTCTCCGTCCCTTCCCACCGGGAATGAAGCGCTGACTGCAGCCTAAAGGAGGTCTTCAGCCAGACCCACTAGTGAAAGGCCCCACACAACTCCCACGGGTGGGCAGCAGCCCCCTTCTGTGCAGCTGCTTCAGGGCAAACACCTGGCGGGCGCTAGCAGGCTCTGAAGGGCTTACCGTGGCTGACAATCTCGCCTGGTGTGTTAGCCATGCGTTTTAGTACATGACCTACAGTGAGGTCCAGTGCTCCCTCACTGAGCTCCTTTGATGCCCTTTCTCTGGGCTGGTCTGGCTTAAAAACCACAGCTGGTTCTCCCAAAGGGGCAGACGCTCTGTTCACTGGGAGCGACCAAGTTACTCACGTAGCAACACTATTGCAAATACTCCCACTACGCTTGTTGGACAGGTCTCCGAGCACAGTGGGAACTGGCTTATTCTATTTCATATGATTCGTATAGATATTTCATATTTATACTTATTCTCCTTTCTGAAACTATCTCTGCTCATATTTCAAGGTGGAATTATTTTGTTCTAAGTGAGAAAGAATACATAGGTATCTATTTCAAAACTCATGTATAATGTTGATGTTCAGGTTGTAAATAAAGAAGACTGTGTTATAAAGGATGGTTTTCCAACTTTCAGAGCAGCGCCATCAATATTTCTATGTCTGGGTGGGGGTCACATCCCCCTGTCAGCTTCCCAGAAAACTGCTCTTATGTCCCGGCATGCCCAATTTGCACAGATATTTAAGGGGTTTTTCTGGACCCTAAAGCCCACAGTGAGTTCCTGGGGACCCAGAGATCTCAGGTTGGATGGACCCTGTTATGTAGGCGCTGAGAGACCTTCTCTCCCAGGGACCTCACAGTGCTGACTGGCAGATCGCGGCGTGCGTGCCGCCTGCGCTGCCGACCTCAACGGGAAAATGCGCCTGGTACGTGCCTGCAGTGCCCCTCAGCACCACGCACGGCCCGCAGGGCTCGGGGCTTCCTGAGGCCCAGCAGAACAGAGCCAAGCCTGCCGTCCCACCCCTCCAGGGCTCCTTACCTCTCCCCAAATGCCGACCGTATCCCGGATGTCGTTTTTGCAGTAAGAAAGCTGCCGGATGCAGTTGTTGACAGCCACGCTGCTTTTCCCGGGGGCGAGGTCCTCCTCTGCCATCTCCACCCATCCCAGCGAGCGCACAGCAAAACACTGGAAGAGAGAGAGCACGGCGCCGCTCAGCGGCCAGTCTGTGTGGGCTCCCTGAAGCCTCTACAAGGCCTGCCTGGTAGGTCTCTGACTGCCACGTGATGGTTGGTTGTCTAATCCTTTGTTGTTGGAAAATAAGTCGTGACTTTCTGGCTACTAGAAAATGTGGTGATAAATGTCTTCTTGCCTAACTTTCTGAGTGTGGGCTCAGGGTGTTGTTTTTTTTTGGAATAGGTCACTAGAAGTGGAATTATAGGGCTAATGGACGCACACAAAATCTCAAGTTCTTTTATCTATTAAAAGGCAGGGTTTTTTTTTTAATAGTGCGAAGTGCAAGCCCCCAGGCCCTGTTAGTTGTCAGCACCCAGAAAAGGACAATAGGAGAGGAAGTGAATGAGAGCCTTGTTGGGCACTCGAGTGACAAGGAGGCAAGAGGCATCCCCTGACTCCCAGAAGCGAAGGGGACCGGCAGCAGGTGTTCTCAGGGCAGGAGGCCGCAGGTCCCGCCGCACGTCGTCAGCGCTCAGGCCTGCAGCAGGGACGGGCCTGAGAGGCACCTCAGGGCACAGGTCCCACATGCTCCTTCATCACGTAGAGGTGTTTGGGGTAGACGCTCCTCATCTTAAAGTTCAGGTATTCGATTTAAAAAAATATATATCAAAAGCATTATGTGCATATTGCGGCAAGTAAAACACCCAAAGGTGTATAAAGAAAGGAATCCCTGGGACACAATGCAGGGTGTGTGTGTGGGGGGCGCTGGATGGGGGGCGGGTGTTGCTGTGGCATCTGCCTTGCTGTCATTGCCAGGTGCCCAGTGGCTGGAACAGGGTCCTTCACCTGACCCTGCAGCCCAGGTTCCTGATCCCGCAAGGGCTGGGGCCCCTCCCAAGCTGCAAATCACCTGAAGACATCACCTTCACAGGATAGGAGGCATCTTAAAGTTTCCCAAAGTGAATGTCACAATGAAATGAGGAAATGCAGCGAACGGCCCCAAAGTGACCACATTCAGTGGTGTTCGACCTTCCCCGTCTTGGCCTCCAGACCCAGGCTCCTTCCCAGATTGCCAATCACAGCTTCTCAGGGGAACCCCCTCCCCCAAATACCAAGGACAATCTCGGTAAGCAGGGTGCAAGCACGGTGCACGGGATCCACGCGTCCCACAGGGAGAAGTGCTGAGGTGCCTGCCTGCGGAACCACCGGGAGCAGAGCCATGGCCATGGGCTGATGCTGCACACGGCCGTTTGCAGCTTCACCGAGGGGAGAAGGCCGTCCTGGCAACAGGACCCGCCCCCTGGGGAGAGGTTCTGGGAGATGCCCTCCCACATCATCCGCGGGTGAGCGTCCACTACACTGCAACTGCTCGGAGGAGAAACGATGTCCACAGGCACGGGGCTGGCTTGTGACCCAGGAGGGCCTGCTCTGGTCCGCAGCTGCGCTGGCTTTTAGCTGCTGGCCTGCCTGCCCGCTGCGGCTCTGCCTCGTTAGTCCCAGACCACGTTGCGTTTCTCCAAGTGGGCCGGCCCGCATGGCGCAGGCGCATGAAACAGCACACATTCTTCACTTTAGTAAGACGCACCGACCTCATTGGCCAGAGCCCAGAAGTACCCCTTCCTGCCTCTCTAGGCAGCACTGTGCTGTTCTCTAACCCCCTCCTTTGCTGGCTCCCGACTCAGTCCCTATTCAGTAGAATCATAAGGCAACCACCGACCCCACCCTGTCATTTCCATCTCTTTACCTACCAGCTCCACATCCCCCTCCTGCCTCAAAAAGAAATAGACACTCTCTTGATTTGGACATTTATGTTACCCCAACCTACTGTAATAGCAGAACATACAGGCAAACTTCAAATGTTAAAGATATTAACTCACTTCATCCTCACCTCAACCGTCTGAGGTTGATACTCAGTTAACTAAACCCATTTTATAGATGAGGAAAGTGAGTGAAGTACAAAGCCATTAAGAGGTGGGCCTAGCATTCCAACCCAGGCGGTCTGACCTGGGGCTCCCACTCCCAGCCACTCTGCCCTGTGGCTGACGCTGTCCTGCAGGGCCAGGGCCGGACGGGACCAGCCCCACAGAGAAGCCTCCAGAACACAGACAGCGCGGTCGGCAGTCTCCAGTATGTGGCTCTAGCGTAGGGAGCGCCTGGTTCAAAGCTTAGCTCTTAGATTTGCTGGGGCTGTGATTGTGGGCGGTAGTTTACAAAGTCCCAATTTTTTTTTTCTTGTAAAAGCAGAAACAGCAATCGTTACCTCAGAGGGTTCTCATGAGAAGAGAAAATAATGTAATAATAGCTAGAGAATCCAGCACATAGAAGACACTTGATGGATATTTGCTGATGAAAGAGCAAACGAACGCAGTGCCACATAAATCCTAGCGGGCGGAGTGGAAGGGGGAATGGAAGGAGCACGTGTCTGTAATTGGGTGGCCACACATTCTGACTGTCCCCAGGACAGCTCCGGTTTGTGTTTGCTGTTGCAGCAAAATTATTAAAAACAGCTTCTTTTATTCACAAAAGTGTCCCAACTCGATTCATAAATTATTATAGTCATTGTAGTCAAAATTCCAGTGCACTCAGACTCTGGTATGGAAATAGCCTTGGGTACTGAGGTGTGCCATGTGGAAATGGGGTTCAAAGTCAACAGGAGCTCTCTCCTCGGGCATCTGGGGGGTCCTGGGCGGAGGTGGTGGGAGGTGGAGGGTGAAACCTAGGAAACCAGTATTGCTGTGGATGCCCTTAAGACTAGAAGCCAGGAACATATTTCTTCATTTTCTCTAACTGCCTGCTACAAAATCCTACAGGATTTTGAATATTCCAAAAGACTGAATATTTATTATTAACAATAGGAAAGGTAAAAAAAAAAAATACTGGCTGCTTTTTGACCTGAGTCCAAGAACACGTGGATTTCTAACTAAACCAGCTGACGGAAAATCAAGGGTATTTTTCTTGGCTAAGAAATGCAGGTGGATAACTAATCCGACCACAGCACATTCAGTACATTGTTTTGTCACGCTGACAAAGAGCCCTAAATATATTATGATAGTGATTTCATTTTAAGCAATTTTCCTGTGCAATCTTGCTATTGCAATTTAGCCTCTGCTTTGAAAAGCTTCACCACGGGAGTAAACGAAAACTGGGTGCCATGGGGAAAACAGAGATCCGCCAGGGAGAGAGCATGGCTTCCTCCCACTGGGTGGAGCAGCACAGAGCAACCTGTGCTGTTTGCTGCTGCCCCCGTGTGGCCATGGAGGTTTATAACCGCTATCACTTTTCCTTCAGCAGGGTAGTTCATGGCTTCTGTACTAATCAGCTCTGGGAATAAATACTCGTTTCAGAGTATGGGAAGAGTTAAAAATATTTAATAAACCTGCCTTTAAAAGTGCTTTTGCGGTTTTGTGTTTGAACAAAGGTCAATATTTGCACTTGGACTGATGGTCATTCTTCAATAGCTCTTAACCAAACAGCCACTATGAGGGAGGGTTCAGAGCACGGACCCTGTCACCAGGTGAACCTGGATGCAGCCACGACCCCGCTGTTTCTCGGCTGCTGACTCTGGGAAAGTCCCTTCGGGTCTCCGAGTCTCAGCTTCTTCACTTGTGAAACAGGAATAACAACAGCACCAGACTGAAGCACTCGGTGAGCGGACCAAATGAGATAATGTTGGCCCAGGGCGGAGCACACTGCCCGGCATATAGTAAGAACCCACTAAAGGCTTATTATTACTGATAAATGTTAACTCTTTTCTATGTGTGGATTTTAAAGATTTCTCTAGTTTAACAGATGTCAGCCAAGGCCGGCGTCTGGAGGGGGGAGAGGCACTGTCGTTCGTGGTATGTGTGGACATACCACCCAGAGGGCTCTGGTAAGACCCAGAAACCGCAACCCGTCCCCACAGTTTCTGATTCAGCAGGTGACGGTAAGGTTCAAGGACCCGCATTTCTAACCGGCTCCCATGTGATGCTGCAGTGGTGGGATGGGGGCTACACCTGGAGGACCACTGATGTGGGCAGACAGCCCCTTTCCTTACCCGAAGTCATGCTGAGCCCATGACTGGTCCCGAAAGTAAAGTCTGGGTTCAAGTCCCAGGACTGCCAACTCACTACCTGTGACCTGGGGCAAGTGTGTGAACCCCTCTGTGCCTCGGTTTCCTCGTTATAAATGTCCATGCTAAAAACACCTGCCTCACAACAGCCTGGCACACGTTGTGAGGACCACCTGGGCTAAACGAGTTTGCAGCTGCTCCTGTTGCTGTCGTCAGTTATTATGGGCATTGAAGGGACACAGCTCTTAGCCTGAGGCTTCCTTCTCTCCCATATGTTCTCGCCTCCTCTGCACTGAAATGGAAACACACGTCCTGTTAGTAATTTCTATTTCTTTGAATCCTACTTCAATGGAGACATCCGCCTGGAGCGAACCTCCTCCTAAAATACATGCAGAAGAAACACAATGCAGAGCCTTGGTTTTCTATGACCGGACAGTCCTGGGTCCACATTCCTACACAGCCATGGGCAGGTGTTCAGCCTCCACGAATCTAAGCTGACTCAGTTGAAGAATGATAATACCTCTAGGAGACCCAAAGGAAGCGAGGAGGGTAAAGTGGCTGGTACCTCACAGACCCTCAGCACATGCTCACCTCCTTCTCCTCTCTCTGGCTCCAGGACACACGCCTTTCATTCTTTGTTTTCCCACATTTGGTTTTTCCTTCCCCAGAGCGTTAAGGAGGGCAAATAAGATGAGGACATGCTGGCAGAACACTCAGGGGCCTGGTTCCTCGGTCATAAGGTGGGGCGGGGTGGGGGAAGGGGGAGATGAGGAAACTGGAGCTACGGAAGGAAGCGGAGGGCATGAACCTCACCTCCACCCGGCGAGCCAGCCTTGGTGCGCGGCACTACCGAGGACGGTGCGTGAATAAGCTAATGTCCTCCGAGCAGTGCATTCAATGCCCACAACGGGGCCGATGCTCTGCAGCTATTGAGGGATGATGACAAAAAGGTAAATGATCT